CCTGGTCTTCTTGTTATTTTTTGTTTTCACTCTTCTAAGGTTCTAATAGGAGCACCAGAACTGCAGTCCAGAAGTCCTGGCACACTGAACTAGGTCCTCTATTCCATCATGAGGTTTGGAGTGCAGGTGTTTGGAAGGACAGGATGGGACTGCACAGTAACACAATTTAGGAGCTGGAAAACATGCCTCAACATACCACTATCACCCTAGAAAAATCATTCTGTGGCCAGGTGTGGTAGCTCATGCCTATAATCCCAGGACTTTGGATGAGATGGGTGGATCACTTGAGCCCAGGAGTTTAAGACCAGCCTGGACAACATAGTGAGATCCCATCTCTACAAAAAATAAAGTTATTCAGGCATGGTGGCATGCACCTGTTATCCTAGTTACTCAGGAAGCTGAGGGAGAAGGATCGTCTGAGCCCTGGAGGTCGAGGTTGTTGTGAGCCATGATTGTGCCACTGCATTCCAGCCTGGGTGACAGAGTGAGACTCCAGCTCAAAGAGAGAGAGAGAGAGAGAGAGAGAGAGAGAGAGAGAGAGAGAGGGAGAGAGGGAGAGAGGGAGAGAGGGAGAGAGAGAGAAGAAAAAGAAAAACCATCCTGTGGCCTCAGATCTTACTGCCCTGTGAAGACGCTGGTGATGCTGAGGTTTTTTTCTGTTTGGGTTTACATTCTTAGAATGAATAATTCTCAGGATAGAGGCCAGGTAAGTGCAGAGCACAGCACACTTTTTTAAACTTGTTGCATATAATTTGTCTCCTTTATCATAATGTAAAGTTCATAAGAGTGAGTACCAAATTTGTCTTGTCCATTACTGTAATTGCAATATATACAAGAGGCTTGATACCTAGGAGTACATTTGATAAATATAGTAGATAAAGTGGATTGACTATAAAATTTAGATTTTTCGTAGTTTGGAAAGAGGGAGAATGATACTAATGATTGGAAAGACAAACTGTATAGCTGCTCCAAGTTCTATTTTATTTTCATTACCAAGCTCTGAATTTCTGGAAAAGGTTAACTTCTTTAAAAGAGAAGATAATCAGCATCAGAACATAACACTAACTTCACATGAGATTGCTTGAAACTCCTAACATAACCTTGATCAAAGAAACACAAAATTGGAGGTACTAAATTTTATCACAACCACTCTTAATAGAAAAAGGAGAAGTTTGAAGCCTTTGGAATGGTTTTGTACTTTGTCTTCCAAATTTGCATTTGTGCAAAACATATACAGACACACATACAAATATGAATATATATTCATTTTTCTGGCTGCTTTGCCATAAAACCCTTTTTTATTTGGGAGACGCATTTCACCCATTCCTTTCTGACAATATTTTTGGCTAAAAGCTCAGCACACTGCCTCTAGCCACACCTTCAAAACTTCCAGTCACACCTTCAAACCTTAGTGGCTTATGGTTTCACAGCAGCATGCTGGTTTTCCTGCCCTAGGCTGAAGTGAAGGATGTCTAGAATAACCACTAGCACACAGGCAAGATGGTCGAATCACTTTATAGGGAGGAGTAACTTAACCAGTTTCCCATCTCCTTAGTTATCTTCATGCCTTACATCACTGATTAATACTAAATTTCTTGGTTCTTACAGTAAAAAATAAAAAGATTTCTAGTTTGAGATGTCCTGTTCCCCTAGTCATTCTATTTGTCTTTCTTGTCTTTATTTATTTATTTTTTTGAGTTGGAGTTTCACTCTGTCACCCAGACTGAAGTGCAGTGGCCGCTCCCGGCCACCGCAGCCTCGACTTGCTGGGCTCCGGTGATCCTTCCGCCTCAGCCTTCCACGTAGCTGGAACTACAGGCGTGTGCTACCACACCCGGCTAATTTTTTATTTATGGTAGAGATGAGGTCTCACCAAGTTGCCCAGGCGGGTCTAGAACCCGCGGGCTCAGGCAATCCACTCACCTCAGCCTCCCAAAGGCGTGGGGTTACAGGCTGAGTCACCAAGCCCGGCTCTTTCTTGTCTTTACATAAAAGTTATTATAATGCTTTAGATTAAAATACTCTATATTGTTCCAATTGGGCCTCCAGCAGTCAAATAGTAACCATTCTTCCTCCAATTTTTTTTCTTTTTTCTTTTTTTACAGATAGGTACTCACTATGTTACCCAGGGTGGTCTTGAACTCTTGGCCTCAAGTAATCCCCCTACCTCAGCCTCCCAAAGTGCATAGATCCTAGAGACGTTGAGCAGTAGTTCTCCAACTTTACTATTCATTATTTGGGGAGTTTGGCTAGGCAGACTCTGAGATCAAGCTCCAATCACTCATTTCTCTTTGCTTATCTTTATTAATTTTTTTGAATTTTCTCCTCACTCATTATCCATCCATGTTAGAAATCCAATTATTAAAATAATTAAAGAGGCCAGTGGTTAAACTTACACCACAACTCATTTTCACAGGTATCACACACTTCAAATCAAAACAAAGTAGTCTAACAATAAAATGTATACTCTTGGCTATCATTTATTTATTCACAATTAAAAATGTCCACATGAATAGACAGCCTGATATTGATGAAATTCCAAAGATGAATAATCTGAAGGTGATAAGAACAAGAGACTACCAATTCAACAAACTTAGAAAACACCTACTATATGGAAAAGACCGCACTAGGTTCTGGGTGACACGCCATCCCATGTAAAAGGAAAAGGCAGGATAAGGCATAGAACCAGTATCTAGGAAGGAAATTTTGATTACCACGAGAGATTTATTTTATTTATTTGTTTATTTATTTATCTGAGTCAGAGTCTCACTCTGCCACCCAGGCTGGAGTGCAGTGATGCGCTCACAGCCACCACAGCTTCAACCTGCTGGGCTCAAGCTATCCTTCCACCTCAGCCTTCCAAGTAGTTGGAATTACAGGCATGCACCACCATGCCCAGCTTATTTTTGGATTTATTGTAGAAATGAGGTCTCGCCAAGTTGCTCAGTCTAGCCTCAAACCCATGAGCTCAGGCAATACTCCTACTTCGGCTTCCCAAAGTGCTGGAATTATAGGCATGAGCCACCGTGCCTGGTCAAGAGATCTCTTTATTAAGGCAGTGGTAAGAGGAACATTACCTGAGTACAGTAAAAATCTAGTTTTATATAGAATTAATGCTATATAAAATTTAATTTATGATGATCATCATGCAGTTTACAATCAAGAGTCAGTTCGAAGTATAAGAAAGCTATAGACAACAATATATGTTCCTAATGACCTATTCTCCAATCCGCATTTAAACATTACAAATCTTAGTAGATAATGGGGACAGGGCAAAATAAGTAAATCAATAGCACAGGGAAGTTAAAGAATGGGGACAAAGATAATGCTAAAGACTTCTTAATCTAAGTACGATTTCTCCCCAGCCTTGCTCAGTCTTGAACGGATCATCTTATTCAACACAAGTCACAGAATGAAGGTTATTCTGATGAAAAACCAAAAACTGTGGGCCCACCAGTGGCTCAAAGTGGTTCCTTTCTCTTTAAGGTTGACACCTAAGTGAAAGAGAATTATATGATTTCATTCTGCACATTCATCAAGGTCTACAACTTGAACATATTTATTTTCATACAAGAGATCTAAAGATGACAGTGGCACAATGAATTGAAGATCAGTTGACTTTCCACAGCAAACCTGGAGACAACAGGCATGACCAGTGCAAAGGATCAGCTAGTGCTCCATGGCAAACAGGTTACTGAGCCATATGCTAAAGCTGTAATGTACAAAGGGGAGTTACCAGATACATGTGGATATCTAAATGTAAATTAATCAAAATTGAGTAGTATACAAAAACTAGTCTATTGCCACCAGTTACATTATTTAAGTGAAACATCAAGATGATTTATTATAATAGACTTTATTACAGTAAAAAAGCATAGAACCTAGATTGGCATATGAGAGTTAACTTTATAATTCTCAAGTTTTGCATATTTGACATTTTTAAAAAATTTTATATAAATTTATTTTTTTTCCAAGAGGAAGTCTTGTTACGTTGCCCAGGCTGGTCTCAAACTCTTGGGTTCAAGTGATCTCCGGTTTTGGCCCCCCAAAATGCTAGGATTACGGGTATGAGGCCACTGCAGTCAGCCTTTTTTAAAATTTATATATACATTTGAAATTTTTCATAGAACTTTGCTTAAATAGAACTATAAATTCAGTTACACTAGGTACATCTCAAGTACGCAGTAGCCACATATGGCTAGTAGCTACACTAGTGGACTACACAGGTATAGAACGTTTCCATAATTTCAAAAGTTATTGGACAGAGCCACGCTAGAGCTTTGTAGCTCAGGAGTCCTGGCAGGTCTTCAGAAACTAATTCCTCCATCCTAAAGTCAATAGTAACTGGTCCATCAAGCAGGTGGATCACAACTACCAAAACAGCACAACTTTTAGTGAGTAGGGGTTCAGATGGAGAAGTAACAGAAAACCAGGGACATGGCTACTGAAAGAGGAAGTCTATGAGAAAAGAAGTTGAAGGGAATGGGAAACATAAGTGAGACCTGTGTTCATTATGAGTTAAAAGAGTATGTATGTACACACACACACACACACACACACACACCCCTAACTTTTTAACAATGTGTAAAGCTGAGAACTCATTTAGCTCCCACACCCCTACACACCCAAAACATATTGTGAAATAAGGATTAAGGACATAATCAAAGATGTGCCTAACGTAGGATACTGACTTTACTCGTATAACACTTTAGGAAATTACTGCTTATACCAAAAATATTTAAAAATGAATAACCCCTGGTAATTTGGGATAACTGTAAAAAGCTCAGAACCTTCTGTAAACACCAAAAAAACTGAATCCAATCATGTATGAAAGAAATAACGAAAGATCTGCAATTGCCTTTATTGGATGGGAATGTGGATATATAGTTCTACCTAAAAGATATTCTGTCATAGGATATACCTACTAGAAAAATTTCTTCTTATCTTTAAAAGTGAATCAAAGAAACAGCCTCCTGGGGAAAAAAAAAATCACTCTCCAGTCAGGCTTTGATATGTTTTATTGGAGCAAATTTTAAACAAAATGTGGCTTTTATTTACAGAATTTAATGTGTGTAGGTACTGTCCAATGCACTTGGACACAAGTAAAGACTACCCCTAAGCCTATTATGTATTTTCTTATTTTCAGTTTAAATATAAAAGAAAATTATTTTGTTTGCTTCACAGTCATAAAAATCCCAATATTGTAAATGGCAAATAAAACCTCCCTTACCCATCCCTTCATTAAATATACAAACAGCTTCAAAATAGATATAATTTAAATCGGCTTAATCTTGAAATGTAATCCAATGAGACTGAAGACTAAACATTTCAGATCTTGTACCAAATAGTAAAATACTCGAAGGCCTTCAGGATCCCTAAAATTGAAAAGGGTAAAAGTTACTTTTTTGTTCCTAGAATGAAATAATTTTATAAATTCCTACCATACAACAAAAACTTATAATAATTAAGTTAATGAAATTTAGGAGAATGGAAGAATTTTAATGACTACTAAAATGAGCAGACTAAACAAGTAACATCTCTTTTCTGTAAGGATAAAAATAGTTTCTTTGTCAGTACTCATTTTTAGATTTAAAGTGTTTATCTTCTTATGTTTATAATAACTATGGATCCCAAAAATATATAAAGCAGAAAAACTAATATTCATAATACTGCTAATTCCATCATTCTCATGAAATAATTATAAATATTTTGAGGATTATCAATTTTCATAACTAAAATAATTCCCTATGCCCTTTTTGGCATTATTTTCCATAGCATTAAGAAATTAATAACTTTCAATTAATTTAATAGTTATCTCCTTGTTAGATATGTGGATTATTTTCCTATTACAAATGATGCTTCAATAAGCATCCTCATGCATAATAAAGCTTTTCCAATATTTGAGAGTATTTCCCTACAATAAATGCTAAGAAATAAAAATTACTAGGTCAAAGACAAATTAAAAATGTTAAGTTTTTGATGCCAATTGCTTTCCAAAAATCACTACCAATTTACAGTCCTAGCAGGGTAGGAATGCCACACTGTCACCAAGTGCAGAAAACTAAATTTGATAGTTTAAAACCATTTGTTGGTCTTCAGCCTTTTGTATCTAATAGTTATTATGTATTCGTTCCTTTCTCCTTTCTTCTCATAAACATTTATATAAACCATCTATTATGTGCCAGGCATAGGTGGCTAAAAGAATACTTAGGGTTTATGGATTTTTTTTCCATTTTTTTCTAGTATTGAGCCCAAGGAGGACAGTGTTACAATATGGGGCTAATGAAGCTGATATAATTCTATACAGAGTTTTTCTTTAAATTTTCTGATACTGTATCCACATTTTTACACAAAATAGTTAATAAAATATGGCCATTATTATACATAGCTATTGGATTAAGACCTTTTTGACAATCAGTGAAATACTCTGCTAACTTCTTTGAGAGACAAGGTAAGTCTTTAATGACACAAAAATCAAAATTATATTTGCATAATAAACTAGTAGAATGTCAGGGATAATCTTGGCTAACAAACTGACTATAGTTACAAAATAAGCCTCTTTAATAATGTCAACCTAGCCAAAATGCTTTAACATACTTACTTTGACTGATTTACATCAATAAGAGAACCTATTTTTGATGTGGTAAAAGAAATGTGCTCATCCCCAATTACAATTTCAAGCTCCTGAAAAAAAAAATAGAGAAATGTAGTTAATGTAAAAATCTATCCCAGAGATATCTGTATTCTTCCTATAGGGAGTCTCAATTTTAGTTCTAAATTTTCTAGCAGTCATTAAAAGGAGGGGGGAAAAAAAACTTGATCTGTCACAGATAAACTATATCCTTAAAATAAAAACCTCATCAATTTTTCACAAGCATTACCCCCAATTTTAGGGCTAACCAGGAATTGCTTTCCAGCAACATCATAAAAAAGACACCATAGAGCCGGGCTCAGTGACTCAGTCTGTAATCCTGCACTTTGGGAGGCCGAGGTGAATGGACTGCCTGAGCCCGCGGGTTCAAGACCCGCCTGGGCAACTTGGTGAGACCTCATCTCTACAATAAATCAAAATGAGCCAGGCATGGTAGCATGCGCCTATATTTCCAGCTGCTTGGAAGGCTGAGGCGGAAGGATCGCCGCAGCCCAGCAGGTCGAGGCTGCGGTGGCCAGGAGCAGCCACTGCACTCCAGTCTGGGTGACAGAGTGAGACTCCAACTCAAAAAAAAAAAAAAGAAGACACCATAAAACGACATGAGTGTTTCTTACAATGTCAGTAAAAACTAAAGACACAACTTTGAAGCACATTTTACAAAAATGATGAGTATAAGCCCATTTGAATATAATAAATACAAACGCTTTCCCTTTCTACAAAATTCTATAAACAAAAGGCATATTAGTAATAGCCACCACTCTAGCACCTACTATGAATCAGGCTGCTAGGGACTTTACCAACAGCCTCTGTAATCCCTAAAGTAACCTTTTAAGGTAGGCTTTATTAGTCTATTTTACAAATGTGTAATCTAAAACTCATAAAACAGAGGAAAATACTTGTTGATATTTACAATCACTAAAAGTGATGGTACTAATATTTGTACTGATATTACACATCTACCTAATGCAGATGCTCCTAGTGTTCCACAATTACTGTATAGATTTTTTGGTGTACTGTTTATTTGCAGATATAAAACCAGTAATTAAGAGACTATGTCCGCCAGGCTCGGTGAATCAGCCTGTAATCCCGTGCTTTGGGAGGCCGAAGTGAGTGGATTGCCTGAGCCCGTGGGTTTGGGACCCGCCTGGGCAACTTGGCGAGACTTCATCTCTACAATAAATTAAAAAAAAATGAGCCGGGCGTAGTAGCGCATGCCTGTAGTTCCAGCTACTCGGAAGGCTGAGGTGGAAGGATCACCGGAGCCCAGCAGGTGGAGGCTGCAGTGGCCAGGAGCGGCCATTGCACTCCGGTCTGGGCGATAGTGAGACTCCAACTCAAAAAAAAAAAAAAAAAAGAGGCTATGTCCATAAGGAGGAAACGAAAAAAAAACAATTATTTTTTTGGAGGGCAGGCTCCTTGTAGTACAAGCTCCCCCCACTAGGTAAGTATTTTAGGAACCCATCAGCATCAGTGGACCCGCCAGTGTTGTTGTGAGATGCTGCATTCAGCTTCAGTGAATTTTTTTTTTTTTTTTTAATTCTTTCAACGCATATGCCCACTTCATGACAGGTAACTTATGAGCGCACCTGCTCATACCACGCTGAGTGTTCGGCAGCTTCTATCTCAAAACAGCATGATCTTCATGCTCTACACTCCATATTCAGTCGATCTCGCCCCTGAAACTTTTTTTTTGTTTCCCCAGATGAAAAAAATTCTCAAAGGGAAATGTTTTGAGGATGTGGAAGAGGTGAAACAAAAAACAGCTGAAGCACAAAAAGACATCAAAATGGACAAGTTCAAAAACTGTTTGAGCAGTGGAAAAAGCATCTTGACAGGCATATTGTATCAAACAAAAGTACCCTGAAGGTAACTGAAGTTTGAGTATGTAAGAATACACAATTTTTAATAAATAAATTCCAAGTTTTTTGGAGTCCCCCCTCATTTAATTAGTTCTCAAGATCAATGAACAAACAGGCACTATTAAAGACAGTTTGGGCTATGTCTTTAATCAAAGGGACTAATCATGCACAATTTATGGCACACATCAAGTGGAGAATTAACTAAGACCTTCTAACAAAAATCATAAAATCTTGGACTTAATGATCCAACAGGCAATTTCGAGAGCACACCTACTCCTCTCCAATAACCAAAACCCATGAATATACTATCAAATGGGTAGATGAATTACTAGGCTCTCCCTGAGTCTAAAAGATATAAAAGATTAGCTACTGATGTGTTTTTTAGTGTATATGCATAAAACAAACTGAGGTCTAAACTGACTTTTTAAAAGTGATACAATACATAAAATCAGTACTGTTAACTGTTACCTTTGCTTTCCTAAATACTGTTTTAGATAGAAGAGTTAAGTTACAGTTACAGAGTGCTAGCATCTGTCAGATTTCTCCACATTTTCTTCTAATCAAATAAGGTGGTATAAACAATAATCCTCAGGAATATATAAAAGTGATATTAAATGTTTCTTTCTTTCAGGGTTGTATCTCATTTCTCCAAAAGTTGAAAAGACCTAATTCAGAAACCAAACTTTCTTTCTGCAGAGTGTAATTAGGCCCTCAGAATTCTTCAAAAGCTTTCTGAGAAACATCAATTATTCTGAAGGGAATATGAAAGGCAAATCCAATTACCAGTTTAAACAAAGAAACCACTAATCAAGTCTCTCTCCAGAACAAAAGGATGCAAATGAGAATTCCAAAAGTTATAATTTGTAAAAAGTGAATTTTGCATCATCAATGGCAACCCAAAACCTCAAATTTACTAAACAGTACTTGTACTTATTTCTAATAAAAGTGATTAATCTAGGCCAGGGGAGGTAGCTCATACCTATAATCCCAGCACTTTGAGAGGCTGAGGTGCAAGGATTGCCTGAACCCACAGGTTCAAGACCAGCCTGGGCAACTTGGTAAGACCTCATCTCTACACTAAATCAAAAGATTAGCAGGGCATGGTGGTGCACACCTGTAGTCCCAGCTTCTTGGAAGGCTGAGGTGGAAGGATCGCCTGAGCCCAGCAGGTCAAGGCTGCGATGGCCATGAGCATGCCACTGTACGCCAGTCTGGACGATGGAATAAGACTCCAACTCAAAAAAATTTAAAAAGTGATTAACATACAATAGAAATCATTCACAACAGTGTGAAAATGCCCTAACTTTGGCAAGGGTGGCTGCAGAGAAGACTGTTCAGAAAGATGTCTAAATTTAGAGTTAAATACTGACTCCTTTATTACTAGGAGGTAGCACAAAAAATTAAACTAAGTGAAATAAAATTAAAGAGAATTTAGCAGGTACCTACTAAATGGAAAACTAAAGAATTCAATGAGGACTTATCATTGTCATCAATAAGAGGAAACAATTCCATTATCAATTTTTAAAATGTATGCGTGTGAAGAATCACTAAATACAAACCTGTCGGCCAACCCTGTCAGGGGGAGGCCACAAAGCATCATCTTCTTTTGTAATTTCACTGTCATCAATAATTCTCTTCAGTTCTTCCATTACACTCTTATGTACATAAGCCTGAAAATAAATTATAATAAAATCGATAAAGACTATCTATATCATCCCACAACTCAGAAGGAAACTATAAAATGGAGTTACAAACCCTTAATATTCTAATAGCATGGAAAATTTAATTCTTATTCTACAAGTACAGAATGAGACTCATTTAGCCTTCTTATGTTATTTTTCTTCATCTATTACTTTTTTTTAAACATATATTTTTCCCTCTTTTCATCACTAACCCCCTTCAAAAGCCCTGTATCCTTCCTCTGTAACATGGGGACTCAAGTATCTCTGGATGGTTAACAGTGACAACACAAAATCTATAAGGTGAACAGTAACAAATGCAAGTATACATCTGTGTTCTCAACTTCCTTCCTTCCCTCTTTCATTTAAGTCACACCATCATGATTATCAATTAGTTTTAAGTAGTAAATTGAGTAAAAAGACAATTATAAAATGAATTAATGATGAAATCAAATATGAGATAACAATTTAATATATTCAAATTGTTTTTTTACTGTTACAGATGTTATAGTTATACCTAATTTAAATGTGTGAATTGACGTCTTCTTTACAATACAGAATTAAATGTATTTTTGTAGATTCAACAGAGACTTGAGAAACATGAACTATTTTTAAAAAGCAGACATCTGAAAAGAACTTACCTCTTTTCTGATCATGACATCATTTTTGTAATTGCTGTTGTTGGCATATCTAAGCTTTCCTGTGGGAAGTGGAAAAAAATTCAAACTATAACAGCAAAAACTGCTAAAACGAATAAAGAAAGAAATGACATCATAAGCAGATTTGAAAGTAAAGACCATTTTATATTATTACTTTCATTAATATTTTCTCCCTCTTAGTGTAAGATGTAGACATGTAGACACTCAGTAAATATTTGCTGGTAAATTGGCTGAAGTTAAAGCTAGTCAAATTTTTTAAAATTCCAAGCCTTCAATATATAATTGGTCATTTTTTTTTTTGAGTTGGAGTCTCACTCTTTCACCCAGGCTGGAGTGCAGCGGCATGCTCAGGGCCACTTCAACCTCAACCTACTGGGCTCAGGTGATTCTTCCACCTCAGCCTTCCTAGTAGCTGGAACTACAGGCACACGCCACCACACCCAGTTAACTTTTTGATTTATTGTAGAGAGGTCTCACCAAGTTGCCCAGGCTGGTCTCGAACCCACAGGCTCAGGTAGTCCTCTGACTTCGGCCTCCCAAAGTGCTGGGATTACAGGCGTGAGCCACTGCGCCTGGCCCATAATTGGTCCTTTTTAAGGCCCATGTTATGAACTAGAAAGAGAATCCGAAAAAGTAACACTATCTATTTTAAAGTCTATTATATATGTATATTGGTGCTAAGTACCTTACCAAGAGCATCTAATCTAATCTGTAAAACAATCCTAAAAAGCAGGTGCTTTTCTCTCACCTACTCACAGGAAAAAAGGTAACTTGTCCTGGGTTACACAAAATTCAAATCTAGATCTACTTTTTTCCAATACTCATGCTTTCCCCGCTACATCAAAATCTTCGAATTATTTTTCTTCAAATTAACGTATGTATATAATTATGGTAATGTTGATATTTTAGAATTATGATAAGGAAGTATACAAGCTATGTGCCACTTCTGGATTAATCTGACCAGTTTGTTAGCTAATTTATATTTAATTTCAATCCATCATGACCTTTGAACTCCCTGATGCACGCTTCCCCAATGGCTAGACAGTTGTACGGATACAGCTATAATGTGCCGGTGATACTTTAAAATGATAAAAATCTGTCTTTGTGACTCAGTATTACCAACGGAAGTATATGGATTGGTGTGGTAGCAGAAAAATGAATGAGAGCCACTATTCTAGCACAAAATTTGCCTGATAATATTGGGGTAATGTATGAAACTGGTTCAAAGTGATATGGACAAGCAGAATAATGTTCACAGGGAAAACTATACTACACAAGGAAAGGACTGATGAATTTGGGTAAATTTGGCTCTTGGGTTAAATTTACAAGAGATATGGGAAAAGCAAGGGTGAATAAGAGGATTGAGGATTCTAAAAAATTGCACAACTGTAGTTACCTTGCATTCTGCCTGAAATGTCTGATACTCTTCTCCTTTTTCTCTCTTCCCCTAATTTTCATTCAGGCTTTCATAGACCTTTGTCCAAATCATGCATATAGCACTTAGTATGCATGTTGCTTTATGGTTAGTTACACATTGTTTCTCCCACCAAGACATAACTCCTTCAGGAAAATGTAATCTTACTCTTGTAGGTACCCTCAATTTTTGTATTTATTTTCAAAAAAACGTATCCAGTTGTTTCAAGTAGTTCAAGACACAGTGACACTCTCTAAAGAGAGTCAGAGCTGACAAGAGATAGAATTGTTGCACACTACATGGGTAGCAGTTTCACCTAAGCCTCTATTCACACTGCTCTCGCAGTCTTTTTCTCTCAGAGGCCAAGAAAACACCTACGTTCATTTCAAGACTCACCTCAAGAGTCTCCTCTTCTAGGAAGCTTTCCTTGACACCCTCCTGTAGAACTAAACACCCCCAGCTTTGTACTCTTAATGCATCCTATGGTGAACCATCGTGTTGAAGCACTGAAAACATATCATTACACTCATTTGTTTACAAGTCGGGCTCCACTCCTTCAAAAAAGCCTTAACACACAATGAAATAATACGAACGAACAGACAGGCCGAAAGTTACTGGTCACCGGAAGGTTTTAAGCATCCATTGGTGGGGGCGTTTTTAAATATGTTCAGGCATTTTAAATGAAGGCGATCTAAGAAGGCTTAAAAGTTCCTTCTAAGCGTTGATTATATGACTCTGATTATTGTAGGTTCAACGTTTTCAGTTTGTGACTGAATTAGCTTTCCTGAATTAATCCTCTTTTATTCACAAAACCAACTTGGGCCTCCCATATTCTTAAGCTTCCATTACTTCGATCAAGTAGTGGCCCCGCCCCCACTGTACACTCTCACGCCCACCCGCCCCGCTCGCCTAGCCTCTCAGGCTGGCTTCCCTCTCCCGGCTCGGCGTGCCACAGGCCCTTCCTCCGCTCACCGTCAGGCCGAAACTCGAACTCCAGAAACTCGTGTCCAAACTTGCCCTTGTGTCCTACATAGTAGCGCAGGTAGAAATCGCTAGCCATAGACATCTTGGTCCCCGGGAAGCCCGCCGAAAGCCCAGCCAACGTGCCGCCGGCGCCTGGCAGTGACGTCAGTCGCGCGGGTAGGTGCGTCACTGACGCGCGTCACTTCCGCCTCCCGCATCATCCCACAGAAGAGTGGAAGCGGTGAACGTCTAGGGGAAGAGGCGCGAAGACGCCGAAGGGAGGTTCCCTGTGACGTGACCTTCACTTTACAAAGCTTGGAGGCGCATTATTTTCAAGATTAAGTGGATGACATTATATTACCAAATAACAGAAGTGTGACCATATGACAACTTTTTTTAATGGACTTAGAACTAAGGTTTGCCAGTCGCTCTTGCTTTTCAGGTCTCCCCGCGGCGTCCGATAAGGTGGGTGTGGCTTTCTTCCCGTTTGACTGGTTGGAGGAGTCAAGATAAAGCTTAGAATGAGAATGGTAGACCCGGAACGTAACCTGTTTCGCCTGCTAATTCATTCCTAGCCGGGTCTTTCCCCTTTGGAGAATGATTGCTAAGTCGTCCGTCAGCTGTAATAATAATATCTTTCACCTGTAATAATAAGAGCCAAAGTAAAAATCCATCAGGTGAGAGGTCTGAAGTTTTAAAAAGCACATGAAAACGAAGAGCCCTGTTAGTGTACAGAAGAGTTCATTTTAACAGCAGAACGTAGAACGTGCTTCGTTCATTCTGTATGGGTTAGCCTTTAACGACCTGTGGAATTTGGGCGTAAGATCACATAATGGTTTGTCCCACGTTTCTCACCAGATAGAATTAAATTTGGAAAGGGAAAGAATATGTGTGGGGGGTGGTTTTGAAGGACATGAGAAGACATAGTGGGCTTTTACACAAAGTCTTGCTTGTCAAATATTAGTAATCACTCTTTTGTTGCCAACATAGAGTTATCCTGTCTGTTGGATGACAGTTAACCTTTAGTAGGATTTGGAAGAAAGTGGTGGTCAGAAGATCTGCGATTCAAGACCAGCACTGCCCTTCCCAACATTGGTCAAGCCACTATCTTTAAGGCTGTTCATTCATCAACCATACATGTACGTCAGTCAGCTTTGTCAAAGTCACAGAGTTTTTGAGAGGATGAAATGACATCATGTATGTAAAATAAGCTTTGAAATTTATAACATTATGAGGTTTAACAATCATTTCCTATGTGCCAGAAACAGTTGGACACTAACAGAAGAAAGATAGCCATTTGCTCTGGTAAAAAGAAAAAAAATGTAAAACAAATATCAGCAAAAGGAAGCAATTGCTATAATATAGGTAAAACATGCTGGTAGTACAGCAGAGGAAGCTAGTCAGTCTGTTACAAAGTAAAGGAATTTGAAAAAGGAAGTATTGGAGAAGACTTGTGAAAAGAGGTGTTATTAGAATTGGATCTTAATAGGTAGGTTCTGTGTATGTTCAGTGGGAAGGAAAAGCTTTCCAAGCAGAGAATGGCCTAAGCAAAGGCGCAGTGCTGTGAAAATGCATGTTTTGGTAAGGTGTTTGGAAGTGGAATGACTATAAAGATAAACTGGATCAGGTTATTTTGAGTCTATATTAACACTTATATAACTTAATATAGAAAAATCAATCAATCTCTCAGTAGGCCACTGTTTTGGAAAATACATAAGAAACATGAAACACCATGCCTACCACTAGGGTGACTGACTTGCCATTCCAGTTTGTCAAGGACTGGAGATTCCTGGAACATGGAACTTCCAGTTTTAAAAACTGAGATGATTTGGTCACTCTACTTACAGAAACTTGAGCACAATAGTCCATAGAATCTCCAAAAATATCAGCTGTAATCCATTTTGTTGAATTATGGAAGCCTCATTTAATATCTGTAGATTTCCAAATGTAGTTCTTTCATGTTTCCGCCACACATGCTGGTGTTCATTGTATTATTAACCTAAATAGAGCTAAGGATACCAGAATCTGTGACTATGTAAATAGAGGTTATGGAATACACAAAGTATTGAAATCTTTGTAAGTTATTGTCCTTGATCCCCCCAAAAGACTTAGAGATTCAAAACTAATTCTCTACAACCCTACCTGTTTTTAAGATACAATATGAAAAACTGTATTTACTTCGCTCTTCATATTTTAAGCCAAAAATGTGCCAAAATATGCATCTCTTGTATTATGACAAGAATTACAAAGTGTTAAAGCATTTGTGTTTTGTGGTCTTCTCGGCTATTACATAACAGTGATGTGGAAATGTTCTATATGGCTACTGAGCACTTGGAATGAGGCTAGTGTGACTGTGGAACTTAATTCTTAATTTTTGATTAATTGACTAACAGCCACATATGGCTAGCAGCTACTGTGTTGGCCAGCAAAGTTAAATAAGATCCTTTTCAACACTTGGTGAAGAATATTTTGTGAACATTTTTCAGTCTCAGTTACTGTAGGTTCCAAGTTAGGGTGTACTTACTGATATCAATACTGTCTACTTATGAAAATAAATATTTGAGCTCCCTAAATGAAGCCAAAGTACTATTTCGGCTTGGTAGCACAGTGCTCAACTTCAAAGCACAAAGTGAAGAAATAAACATTTCCAGCTCCAACTGAAATTGAGACTTAAGAAGTTCTTCAAATACACAGTATTCATCGACAAAACAATGATTTCCCACTAGAGTTTTTAACTTTATTTCTTTCAGCTTCTTAGTGATTAATTCAGGGAGCTATGGTCAGAGATAGTTCTTTCTTACAATTGTTAATTTAATCTTTTAAATGTTCTGGTTTTTTCTACATCCAGAGGTCTCGTTTCCTTTCATCTCTCTTATATCCTCTCTACCCTCTTACCTCTTTTTGCCTCTCTTTTCAAAATGATCATATCATTTCCAGTTTCTATTTTCAGAACATGTTCTAACTTTATTATGATAAACCATAGAGATAACAATCTCATGTTTGTTTTCTTTATTAGTTACTTTTGATTAGCTTTGATTTTGTATTTACTGAATGAAAGTTGTCAGTGCTTCCTCAGATAAATGGATCCAAGTAAAGAATAAGCATATTATTTGGCCTAAAAAGACATGGTAAGGTGGTTTAAATTTTCTTTTAAAGCTGGGCGGTGGCTCATGCCTTTAATCCCAGCACTCCAGAAGACTGAGGCAAGAGGATTGCCTGAACTCAGGGGTTCGAGACCAGCCTGGGCAATGTGGTGAGACCTCATCTCTATATAAATCATAAAAATTTGCCAGGTGTGGTGGCATGCTTGTATTTCCAGCTACTTGGAAGGCTGAAGTGGAAAGATCACCTGAACCCAGCAGGTCGAGGCTGCAATGGCCATGAGCATGCCACTGCACTGCAGCCTAGGCAAAAAAGAGTAAGACTCTGACTCAAAAAAAAAAAAATTTTTTTTTTTGTTTTAAAAGCTTACAATAAGGTAGTCTATTTCAGTTTTTAATCCATCTACCCCCTTGCTCATCTCTTTTCCATAATATACTTCCCTATGGATTTTAGCCATATCTGTCTTTTTAAATAAGAAAATCACTGTCATACAGAAACACCAAACTTTCCACACCATTGTTTATCAGATGTGTTCATATATGATGAATACTTGTAACTATTTCTAGATTATCATGACCTGATGATATATTTAACTTCATTCTTCAATCTAAGAGGCTTTTTTAACATATGACAATATTACATGCTTCAAACACATAGCATAACCTCTAACTCTTATGGTCAAAACAAATAAACGTGGTCTGCTAAATTAAGGACTCCCTCTAATTTTCCATTGTATTTGCTACCTTTTTATTTATGTAAATGAGTATGTTAAAGCAAAATTTAAAAAAAATATTGCAACAAAGTTAAGATTAAGAAAATTCTGTCCATTAACTTACTTTTTTGTTTTACAGTGGTAAAACAAAAATCCCACTATTATTTAATTTTAACAACAGAATGCCTAAATCAGGCATGAAAAACAGTATTCTGGATGAGCAGAATTTAAGAACTGCTAGTTCAGACTATTTTATGTTAAATGATCTTGTCAGATTTCCATTAGACATCATATCTAGACAGTTGTTTGCTTTGTTCCTAACTGTTCGGAATTTTTTTTTTTTTAAGCAGTAAAGTGTAAATTGGAAATACAAGAATGGAAGAGGAGGCAATCAAAACAATTTTAAAAATCTGGATTACACTTGATGAAATGGAACATTTTTAATTCTTTCTCATTCATTAGCTTAGAAATGCCTAGTTTAGCTGAAAGGTCAAATATGCCAGAAGCTTGCCCAAGTAAGGGAAAGACCAAGTTTTCATGGAATAAAAATTACTGTATCCAGTTTTCCAGGCCTATCTCCAGAAAAACAAATAAAATGGGGTAAAAATTTAAGATACCAATTGTCTGCTTCTTTCCTTCCTACCAAAACAAATATGAGCATGCAGTATGAAAGTACAACCCTCCATTTCACTGTATGTCCCTTTCCCTTTAACTCAACATGCTGCAGCCCTATATGCTTCCTGGTACCTCCTCACACTAACTATGCTTTTTCTTGCCTCAGAGTTTTCATACATATGTTCTTGAAGGCTCTGACTCTGTCTTACTTACCCATCCCTAAGATCTCAGTTTAAATGCTATTTATTCAGGGAAATTTTTATTTTAAACTTCCTTCTCCTAACCTATACTTTTTCTTTGTAACACTTAACATAATGTATAATCAATAGACATCCATACAAATAAGTATATAATGTCTCTTACCTTTTAGGCAGTAATCAAAAGGTCCCTGTTTCTTTTATCCAACATCTAGCTAAGTGTCTGGCACAGCAAGCCTTAACACTTAATTTTTTTAAATAGTCAGATAAATAAATTGTAAATTGGACTTAAGTGAATAGCTGAGTGGCAGCAATGGGATTCCAAAAGACTTCATCATTTTGTGTGAAGCCACTGTACCTCCCTTTTCTCTATTGCCATTTGTTCTCATTTTAATCCTGACTAGTCATTGTGGTATTCTCACAGTGGTAAGAATCATTCTTCACTTAGCTGACTCATCATGACTCCATAGGATTCCAACTTCTACAACCTTCTCAGCTGCCAGTCATCTTTCCAACTGCAGCCTTAGATGTCCTTTCTGGGGTGTCCAGAGTGTTCTTTAAAGTCACAGATCATCATGTTGAATAGAATTGCCCTCATCGTGATATTTTCAATATTTTGAAATAGTAGGGGCTACTAGTATCATCCAAAAGCTCACGCAAAACTGATGACTTCATTATTTTAAGCATGTAGTACTTGTGCTATACAGTCATCTTAAGGCATGCCCTGCCTTGTGGTGTCACAGACTGAGGTTCTCTTCTTAGCCACAGTAGATTTTAAGTGAAAAAGATATAAAAAGTCCTGGGTTAGGAAGGGTAAAAGAAAGGAAGTAACATTTATTGAGCACTTATGTGCCAGACACTGTACAAATACATACTCTCATTCAATCCTCACAACAACCCTGTGAGGTAAGTATTATTTCCATTTTACACACAACCCCTTTTCTGACCTCGTAAATTGTCTCTTGAATTTTTTACATTAACTTCCATTTATTTACTTTTATCCTTCCTATTGTATAGATTTTGGCAATTGTAAACCAGAAAAACCAACTTCCATTCAATAAATATTAATAAGTTTCACAGTTTATCAATGCATGATTGGAAATTAGAAGCTACCATCCTCCTGTATCCAATTACATTATTTTCTAACCCTTGTTAAAGACTGAGTTACTAAACCTTCTTGCCTGGTTTCCACATTTTCTGTTATGCACATACACACACACACACACACACAAGCATTTTAATCACTGATCTAACTTTGACTCTCCAGGCTTAGTCTCAGTCTAATAGGGACCAGGAAGCTAAGATGATAGCTCATTGAACAGTACATGCGTAGTGTTCTTAATCCTTACTCTTCCATGTTCTAATTAAAAGTATTACCAAACAGGGTTTACCTGTCTCAGAATTAGATAAAAGAAGGCCATCTTTATTTTATCTATAATTAGGGGGCAACTCAGAAGTTTTCCTTTATAGTTTTCCTCCAACCCAACATGTAGGGATCAGGACTAAAGAACTTTACATCCTCCCATTTTCTCTGGTCTTGGCCCATAACTATAATTCTGAGCAAGTAGAACCTTGAATTTTCTTTCTCTTCAACTCCTTAATTAGATTTCTATTCCTTCATTTCCTTTTTTCTTTTTTTTTTTTGGTGAGTCAGGGTCTCACTCTTATTGCCCAGGCTGGAGTGTAATGGCACAGTCAGATCACGGCACAGTCAAATCACAGCTCACCACAGCCTGGAACTCCTGGGCTCAAGTGATCCTGCCACATCAGCCTGCGTGCCACCATGCCCAGTTAAGTTTTTTATTTTTATTGTAGAGATGAGGTCTCACTGTGTTGCATAGGCTGGTCTCGATCTCCTGGATTCAAGCATTCCTTCTGCCTCAGTCTCCCAAAGTGCTGATTATAGGCTTGAGCCACTGGGCCTGACCTTCATTTCATTCCAAATTCTCTGTGCCTCATAATAGTTATACAAAAACATGGTTCAGGAGGAAACTAGCCAGGATAGGAGGGACAAGCTTGTTTGTGCCATGCCCCAGTAAGCACTGCCAATTTTTTAAATCTTTGCAATGACACTGCCCTCCTCTTCTACCCAAGTTCTCTAGGAGTACAACAGCAGAAATGGGAACAATAGTATTTGTCAGCTCAGCATATATGGTGTGTAAAGCCTCATTCAGCATCATTTCAGATTTCTAGAGAAATGCATAAAGGCTTATCCAGGATTCATATGCCATTTCTCCCTGTGTATTCCACCATAAAGTCCATTCTCTTTTCTTGGAGGAATTGGTTCCAAGAACAATACAATCACTCATATGTGTTTCTTGCCTGAGGCTCTTCAAAGAATGCTGTAGTTGTAGGAGAGACTCTCCACTCTGATGCCGGCCACAGCTGCATACAGTTCAGGTACCACCAACTCTGGTACTTGTAATACAGCCTTGTCATCTGCAGTTCTAGCAGCAGCTTCTAGGCGCAAGCGTAACTCTCTAGGTAAGGGGCGGCCCTTCTCACTCCAGCGCCAGCAGGACTTCATAATACTATACCTAAGAGAGAAAAAAGAAAAACTGACTTCCTTGGCATGGCAATTGTATAAGGAACGTGTCTCCTTTCCTAAAAATTTTAATCTGTTTAACCTGTCTCATCTCTCATATTCTTCCCAGAGACTGAAATTCTTTCTCATCTTCTTTATATCACGTCACTTAATATCATCTTTTCAATGGGTGCTTTTTTATAATAGAAATGACTTACAATTTTTTTCAGACTACAGAGAATGACAGTATAGTTTTTTTCACTATACATTGCAGGGCTAGGATTGAACATGTCTTTTTACTCTGGTATAAGATGGAACTTTTAATCATTCTATATTGCCACATATTTTATGCTGATTTTTGTGTTGTTTTGGGTAGATCCTCATTAAAATTTTAAGTAAGTTCTTTAAGGTCAGTTATTTTGTCAGTTTGGTGTCTCTCCCAATGTCAAGCACAGTGTTTTACACATAGAAATGTTTATCATCAATCTTGTTCTAGTATACCAACCACATTATATATATATATAATTACAATATTTAAACTTTATAATCGGATATAATAACTTCATTTTAGGGAAAACCAAGTGCTATAAATGTATCCATACAATGCTTAAACATTTACAAAATAGCAACAGTTCTAATAGAAACATTAATGTATTTTCTGTTGTCTTCTCAGATATAATTTAACCTTTTCTTATGTTCTATAACAGTCCCTTTTTGAACTTAATTGGTAATAAAAATATGCATGTAATTTTTAATTTTCACATTTCTGCCTCTAGGTTGGTTCACTAACTGCCCATATCTTCTAACAATATTGGATCCTCCCTTTCCAGCCTTTCTAATTTCTTTTTACTCTCTTTATTCTGGTTGGCTTCTTCATACTGAGAGCTGGAAAAATAGGAAGTCAGTAATTTTTAAAAGTTAAATATTAAATACAAACCAGTATATTCAGTGAGTAACTCTAGTGCAATGGATTTTATGACAGCTATCTGAAATGAGGTTGGCAGAAGACTGATATTTAGTCAAAACACTAGTGTCCTTGCATTGGTTTGGCTTATTTCCTGCCTATTTTAGAAGCTTCCTGTGGAATTAAACTTTAACAAAATTAGGTTCCTAATATAGTTATCAGTGGTTGCTTGAACATTGGGTGTGGAGGGGGGTAGGTGTGTGTGTGTATATGTGTGTGTGTGTGTGTGTGTGTGTGTGCATATATGAAATGTGTCTCATATGTGCAAATCATTTGTATATGGACTAAAAGTTCTTATTAGTGCATAAGAACAGCTGGGAATCATCTGAGCCACTTTGAAAAGGCCATTATTGATAGTGAACAAAAAACAAAGAGCAGGCCTTTAAAACCCACTTACATGGTTTGTGTGCAGCTGCTGGGTCTCTTAATGATTTTCCTTCTCTGGAGATGCTGTAGGATGCTGGTAGGAGGGACTTCAGGATACGGTGGTGCCCCTGTCATGGAAAGAATGAGAACTTTGGGATTCTTTAAAATATGAATTATAACTAATGCTACTCTCCATCCACTTGGGCTAATTGCCTGCAAAAGGTATAGCTATACGAAACATACTAGGTATAATACAATTGCTCACTGGTGATCAAGTAAGGATATAGCTTAGTGAATTTGGATGAAAGATATTTTGGGGAAAAAAACTGATGGAAAAGCTTGAGTCCTTAGGAAAGCAATAAAATAAGACAAAGTAAGAACTAAGACCTGCTCTCCCATAACATGAGATAGTGCTGCAGCTTCTCAGTCAAATGGTTTAATAAATCTGAAGAAAACATCTTTATACTTATGCAAGATCACGTGATAATTATCCTTGGGATCTGAAAACATCCCTTGGAATTGGTAATATTTTGGGGAAAAGAAAGAAAGACAAAGAGTTAAGAGAAGGACAAAGAGAGAAAGAATAATCACTTTACACAACTCAGGAATCAGGCTTAGATTTCATGTCAGCACAGTTCGACCTTCAGAGCTGTACTGAAACATTTTCTGAAAGCAGGCATCATCCACCACCTAAACAAACATACTTGCATATTTGCATACAGATACATACTATTTTAAGGATTATTCTTACCTAGAGTCACCATTTCATACAGCAGGATCCCAAAAGACCAGCTGTAAAAGAACAAAGCAATCTACTTAATTTCTATTTCTGCTTTTCTTTTTTTTTTTTTTTTTTTTTTGAGTTGGAATCTCACTCTGTCACCCAGAGTAGAGTGCAGTGGCCACTCCTGGCCACTGCAGCCTCGACCTGCTGGGCTCTGGCGATCCTTCCGCCTCAGCCTTCCAAGTAGCTGGAACTACAGGCACGTGCTATCATGCCCAACTAATTTTTGATTTATTGTAGAGATGAGGTCTCACCAAGTTGCCCAGGCGGGTCATGAACCTGCGGGCTCAGGTAATCCACTCACCTTGGCCTCCCAAAGCACTGGGATTACAGGCTGCGCCACCAAGCCTGGCCTATTTCTGCTTTTCTAAAGAGAGTTCACTTAAAGGAGCTTTTAGTAAGAGCTCCATAAAAAAGGCAATTAAGGAGAACAAGGATGAAAGTCTGGTAAAATAAGTAACAGTGCCATTAGAAAGCATTTCTGTTGAGTTTCCTTAGATTCTAATCTCTTTGAAGTCTGGTTCTACTGATGTCCTAAATTTCTTCTGCTGCTCATAACATTCATGGCTAGTAGGATATTCTACATTACGTCTGTGTGCTTCTCCAAGCAACTGAGTTATATGGCTACCAAAAGTCTATTGTGATTCTTTACAATCCTGTTTATCCCAGTTTTACATGTAAATGTAAGTGTGGGTAATTATGTAATCAATTAAATACTATATAAGCTGATTAAATACAAAATAAAGTGTTATGTCCCTGCAAACTAGGTTAAATGCTTTGAAAATGGTCTATAAAAATACACTGCTAAAAAGAGAACACTGTGAAATTGTGTGAGACAACTGTAGAAAACTGGGAAAAATAACAAAAGTCTACAGTCAAATTATTTCACAATTATTTTCAGGTTTCTCACTCTACGTAGAATCATTCCAAACTAGAACTCAAAAATAAGTCATTACAGATGCTATTTATACAAGAAATACTATATACAACTTCATTTAGAAGGCCTGTCTTCTTAAAAAGAATCCTTGTCCCTCTTTCAAAAGATTAATAAATCAATATACATTTACATGTTTTAAGTTAAAATAAATAATTGGAGGTATTTTTATTTTATTTATTTTTATTTTAATACTTTCTGGTTTAACTGATCTTTTGATTAAGTAGACTCACCTCCTTCAGATAAAAGAGACTACTAGATTAAGTCCTCAAATAATATTGACAAGAAAGATTCTTTTTTCTTTTTTTTTTTTTTGAGTTGGAGTCTCACTCTGTCAGCCAGGCTGGAGTGTAATGGCATGCTCACGGCCACCCCAACCTTGCCTGCTGGACTCAGGTGATCCTTCCGCCTCAGCCTTTCAAGTAGCTGGAACTACAGGCATGCACCACCACACTCGGCTCATTTTTTTGATTTATCGTAGGTAGAGATGAGATCTCACCAAGTTGCCCAAACTGGCCTCAAACCCATGGGCTCAGGCAGTCCTCTCACCTTGGCCTCCCAAAGTGCTGGGATTATAAGCATGAGCCACCGTGCCTGGCCTCTGTTTTGTTGTTATTGTTGTTGTTGTTGTTGTTGTTTGAATCAAGGTTTCACTCGCTACCCAGGGACACCATCATGGTTCACAGCAGCCTCGGATTCCTGGGCTAAAGTAATCTTCCCACCTCAGCCTCCTGAGTAGCTGGAACTACAGGCATCTACCAGCATGCCCAGCTAATTTTTAAAATTTTTTGTGGAGGCTAGGTCTCGGCTATGTTGGCCTAGGCAGGACTCAGGCAGTCCTGTGACCTTGATCTCCCAAAATACTGGAATTTTAGGTGTGAGGTACCACACTAGACCAAGGCTGCTAATCTAATATAGAAGAAATGCTTTAGAAAGCACCAAAAATGATTGCAGACACCTGCCAAACATGACCACTATCACATAACATTCCTGCCTAAGGGTATGTCTGATTTCTAAGTAGAGATTTCATTTGCAGACACAATTAGTAACAGATAAATCATGTTCTGGGAGGACACCTAGGTTATGAAGGGAAGAAATCCAAAGGCCAGGAACAAACCATACATGTCTCCTCTGATGCCAGCAGGTCTCAGGAGAAGCCGTTCTGGGGCAAGCCACTTTAGAGGTATGGTTTGAGTAGAGGAGATGGCCCCATGAGAGTGGACTTCATAAGCCAGACCCAGTCCACAGAGCTTAGCAGTAAGATCGCTTTGAATCAGGATATTCCTGGCTGCCACATCCCCATGTAACAGATGTTTATCCTGCAGAAATTCCTGTCAACATAAGATCAGAGATGATCAGCTGTCTGAGATCATGGGTTGAATCACTGATAAAGAGAGGCAGTCCTTGTAATCCTCAAAAAGACAAGGACATTTTCTACCCCAAACAAGTCTCGTTAATAATGGCACCACCTCCAAAGCATGCTAATGAATCACCCATTTTTGCATTGTGTTTAAGATTACCAAACTGAGCAGATAATCCAAATGACATCAATACTGGATTTTGAAAGTATAATTGCCCATTCTGTGTCAAATCCTGACCTTCTTGATTTAATTTTCCTCTCAGGACCCAGCTAGACATTGGAAAAGTGAGTTCCAAGTTTGTAGCAGGTACATAGCAAAATGTAATAAATACACAATAAAATTGAGTGTTATGATAAATTTATGTAAAGTTTTATATCATCTCATTTTGTCCCTGATATAATTGGATGCAGTGACTTAGGAAAGTATCTTTTAGATAAAACTAAATGATTACATAGCATCACATAGTTATTAAGTGGTAATGACCAGAACCAGCTATTCTAATTCATAAGGACTATATAAACTCTCCTAATAATTCTTGAGCCAGGCTGTAAAACAGAACTGCCTGAGAGCTTTTGAAACACATAATATTTTCTAAACCCAAATTTACTAAACCAAAATCTAAGAAGAGAGACTTGATAATCTATATTTTTAAGAAGCATCAAAGAAGCCAGTAAAGCATTGGAGAGCCACTGCACCTGACGACACTGATTTGCTGACATCATTTCCTCCAACATCAAGCTATTCGAGGCACATGGAGAAACTGAAAAACTACACATGACCAAAGAGCTATAGATTAAGATTTATTTGTGATTGATAAGGATGGTATAAAAGATTTTTAAATAGAGGTGATAACTTCCAGTCATTGATAAAAGAAAAGCAGCTTCTTTAGAACAAAGAAATTATACTGCAATGAGAAGAATTAAGGAATATACGGACTTTGAGGTTGTTAAAAGTAAGAAAAAAGTAGTATGATACTGCCTTGTAACGACAGGTAAGGTAGGGCCCTGATGAATGCATTCATTTGATCAATTCATCCCTATAGGGCACCTTTGCAATTATGGTTCAGAATACAAGATAGGCTGTATCCTGACACTCTAACTTTATCAAGGGAACATACCAACTAGGCCCTCCAAACACCAAAGATAATATTCATTTATATATTGTGTTCACTCACTTGCCCCATGGGCATCTCAACTGTAACTACTACTCTTCTGACTGTTTATCCATTTTTTTCTGAACTTTTTCCTAATTCCACTTTAATACATGGTATATTTCAAACCTCAGGGTAGAAAGATATATCAAATACTTAAAATAACTTCACAGATCCCAAATTTTCCATAGAAAGTGCTAATTTTAAATACAATTATGTAAAGAATTTGATAGAAATAGTCATTTAAATTCCCTGAGTAATTCTAGTAAAGGTTTTTTTTTCCTTAAACTCTAAATTATTTTTACCTCTTTATTAAAGTTGGTTCAAAATAAAGGAATAACTCCACCATTGCTCCTCCTCATTCCTCCTCCACATGTTCCTTGTTTTTTCTTATAAGACATATACTCCCTATCACATTCAGTACCAAAGCAAATCTCCAGCCAAACATGTTCTGAACTAGTTTTGCTTGCTTTTCAGGCATAAAATTGTATACTTCCTTATGGTTCTGTAGCCTTTCACCCATTTAGTTTCTCTTTCTATATCTTCTCCCTGCTTGCTTCCCTACTTTCCCCCTTATACATGTATTATTAATAGCATATATGGGGAAGTAAGAGTATCAAGTAAATAGACGTATGGGTCTTGGTCCTGGCTTTTGGCCATTAAGACTGAAAAAGCTTTAAAGTCCTTCCTGTTCCTTCTATAAATCCCAAGTTGACTGCTTTCTTTCTGGAATTACCAACTCTGTAATATATTATTTAAAAATTTCATAAAGAAGAGACTAAAAACTATTAGTACTTAAGTTTCTGCCCCCTGACTTCTATATAATTTTCTTTAAAATATACACCCAATTGAGAATATGAATATGGGAGATATGGCAGCAAATCTGAGGCTAACAAGAAAAAATCCCCATCATCTATTGTCGTTTTGCCTAGTCTTACCAGAGCCAAAAGGACCTGCTTTCCAATGTGATATACTTGTTTTTCTGTGATATCATAGAGAAGACCATCCATGGTCATCACATCCTAAAGAGACCAAGAAAAAAAAACATATAAAAACAGCATTAACAATTGGGAAAAAAAAATAAAAGATGAGCACAGAGATGCTTGAAAATGCAGATCCAAAGCTAAGAAAAGCAGGGACTAATTCAAAAACTGATATGGGATATGTTCAGATATGCAGAGAAATACAATTATTCATTGAACTGGGAAAACAAAAAATGTAGATAAGAGACAAAAAAGACAGGTATATATAACACTATCTACTGAAATAATGGAGCAGTTTTCCTGAGGCTGTGTGTGTGTACACCCATGTACGCTTGCGATTAATTTAGCACATTAACTCAATACCTCTTTATTGAATGCCTCCAATGTGCCAGATCCATGTTAGGAACTTGGAATACAAAGAGTGAGCAAAATAGCAGGGTTACCACCTTCTAGAACTTGGTGGCAGACACATGAATCAGAGTCAAATACACATAATTAAAGGGTTACATATACGTGCCATGAGAAAATGTACAAAGTGCTAAGAGAGTATATAATGGTGGGAAGAAGAGGGCTGATTTGGTTGGCAAGACAGAAAATGCTTTTAATAAAAATCAGAAAGCTCCCTTCTCTTCCACGGACATAATACAAAGAAGAGAAGGGAGAAGTGTGGCATAACAAAAGTATATGTCTAAAACAGAGAAGCATGGTATTTTTGAAAAATGAGTAAAAGCTAGTACTGTTAGAGTACAAAGCAAGTTAAATGGTAAACTCTTAAAAAGGTTTAAAATGCCTAAAGACTGGCACAATTGTTCTATTTATAACAATGGATGGAGGACATCAACAGGGCTTTAATATACATTCAGCTATATAAAAAATTATACAGCTGAATGTATATTAAAATAAATTATAAAAAATTAAAAGGTACAAAAACTTACCAGATGAATTTCTCCCTGAATCAGTCCTGTCATACTGTGATGATATTACTACAACATGCTTAATGACAACAGCAAAATTACAGTCATTACTAACAATAATTATGTAAGTATAACAGCTACCATTTTGAGTGCTTACTATGTATCAACCACTGCTGTGTTTTTACATACATAATTTATTTTATTTTTTATAATTTATTACACCCAAGGTATGGATCCAGAAAATTTAGAAAGGTGACCTGCCCAAAGTCACATAACTAGTAGTTGGTGAAGCCTAAAAATTCATGCTCTAAATTGCGCTGCCCAATCTGGAGGCCATTAGCCACATATGGCTATTTACATTATTTAAAATTTAAAATTTAGTTTCTCTTTCACAGCAGCCACATTTAAAGTGTTCAAAAGTCACCTGTTATCAGTGGCTATCATACTGGACAGAGCAGATACAGAACATTTCTATCATTACAAAAAGTTCTATTGGATGATGATGTCCAATTACTCTGTTATGCTATTGTAATGTCTCTGGGTTTTGTTATTTGTCACACTAATTTACATGTGAGCAGTTAATCAACCAGGCCAAACCTTTCCCTCCTAATACCCCACTCTACTGCTCACCCGGCGACAGGTCCAGAGAAAGCTGAGCAGGTCTCCGTGGGCCACATCCTCCAACACCATATAGAGGGGCAGCCTTTCTGTGCAGCAGCCTTCCAGCTGTACCAGGTTTTTGTGTTTCCCCAGGTACTGGTAGAACTGGATTCGCCCTAAGAAATCCTGAACCTCATGGAGCTCAGCTGGTTCTGTGGATGAAACAGGAGCCAGTAGTGAGCAGCCACTCAGTGATGAGTAGGAGGCAGGGAGCAAGAAGCAATTTCAGATGATAATTTTTAAGGCCCCATTGACTACATGGGAGTCAATGTAACAAAAATAAATAGAAAGGGGACCAGTTAGAAGAGAATGGTGCTCAATGCCACTGATCTTTTATCAACAGGAACATAGAATTACAAGTCTTAGAATTGGATAGGCTTTCATCTACCTAAGTAGAATATTCTGGTCACATTAAAACATTATCGCTGTCTAGGCCTTTTGATTAAAATCCTTGCTTATCTTCCCCTTGTTCTCTTGTAAAAGGCAACCCCCAAACTCCCAGAATTTATTTAAAAATTACACATTCTTCCATGTTCAAATTTCAGTCACCTTCAAAGTACTCTCTGTAGGCCAGGTGCGGTGGCTCACGCCTATAATCCCAACACTTTGGGAGGCCGAGATGAGAGGACTGCCTGAGTCCATGGGTTTGAGACCAGCCTGGGCAACTTGGTGAGACTTCATATCCACAATAAATCAAAGAAAATTAGCCAGGTGTGGTGGCACATGCCTGTAGTTCCAGCTACTTGAAAGGCTGATGCGGAAGAATCACTAGAGCCCAGCAGGTTGAGGCTGTGGTGGCTGTGAGCGTGCCACTGCCCTCCATCCTAGGCAATAGAGTAAGACTCTGACTAAAAAAACAAACAAACAAAAAAAGTACTCTGTTTAGTGCAATACACCTACCGAGATGCTTTTTCCATTGCTCAAAATAGTTTTGAACTTGTCAATTTTGATGCCTTTTAGTGCTTCTGCCATTTTTTGTTTCACCTGTTTCACATCAGCAAAACATTTCCCTTTTTCACCCAGGGAAACAAAACAAAGTTGTTTGGGGGCAAGATTGGGTGAATAAGGAGAGTAGGGCAAGGGGTTCATCCTGGTTTTGGTCAAAAACTGCTGACTTAGTGTGGTGTGGGCAGGTGTGCTTGTAAGTCACCCATCATGAAATGGGTAAATGATGAAAGAATCTCAAAGAGAAAAAAAATTCACTGAAGCTGAACACAGCCCCTGACAACAATGCTACTGGTATACTGCTGCCAGTGGGGGAAGCCTATACTACAAGGGGCTTGCCTTCCAAAAAATAATTCTTGTTTTCTTGGGGTCTCTTCTCATATGTATATGCCCTTAATGACCCATATCATAAGTATCATCAAAAATAAAAAATAAACATAAAAAATACAGTATCAGGAAAGTATACAAATCATAAAGAAAAAGGAAAAAACAACCTTAGAATCCTAGTCCAAGTATCTAACCAATGTTAAAAAAAAACATCAGTTCTGACAGGCAAGGATATGCTAGAGAAAGTGAGACCCCAAGAAGAACATTTCTGTCTCAGGTTTCCACCCTCTATTCCTTTCTGTATTCAGTTGTGATCACAACTATCAGCTGATTAACAACTCAATGTTTGCTAAGCCTGTTAACATTTTTCTGTTAGGGGTTCACAGTGGAAAAGTAAAAAGGAAAAGGAGGTCTAATACTTTTTTTGTTTTTTACCTTTTAAAGCCTTGAGGACAACACTCTTGCACTTAGCAGAGTCCCCAGTGTTCATTTTGGCTCGATAGATGGGCCCACAACTACCACTGTGGATCTGCTCCAGAACTTCAGAGAGTTGCTCCCGGGGCACCTGCAGCTTAGCCAGTGCAGGTGTGGTAGCTTGTAGAAAGCTTTCCACTGATGTCTCCTTCAGTGGCACAACCACATTTCCCCCGTGTCTTGCTGCTTCCCAGCTTGTGTCCCTAGATGGAGATGTGGGGGCAGTGCCTAGAACAAAGAGGTGATATCAACCAACTTTTCCCTGCCCTGGAGACTCCAGGAAAGCAGAGCCTGGAACAAACTGACAAGGAAATTTCTTTAGCAATTGTCTCTCTGGCCATTGTGGCGTTTTCTGATGTTTCTCTGTAAACCAGTATCAACACCACCTTGTAGAACCTTTGTAATAATCCCCATTACTTCTAGAACAACTCAAGATGAACCCCGAAGAAAGTGGTCATGATATTTCTGTCTTCCCCAGGGAAGATTTCCCATGAGTGTAGTAAAGAAACAATGAAGGAAGTTCTTCAATAGTTTCCCAAACCACAGATATCTAAAGGTAATGGTAAGTGGGGACTATCATTCAAGTCAGTGGCTTTCAAAGTTGGAAGAAAAGTAAGGATAACTAGGCAACTTTAAGCCATGGTTATTCTTTCTTCCTCGAGTTGCCCCAAAAGTCAAATTATTCTCTATTTCCTTGAGGCTGGGGATGAGAAAGAAGTTGTCTTCTGGTATTTTCTCTTTTTCTTAGCACAAACTTCCTTCCAATTAAAAAAGAGAGGTCAGGCAACCCCCTCGGGTCCCCTCCCACTGTGGGAGCTTTTCTATCCTCTTAATAAATCCTGCTTTCTCAAATAATAATAATAATAATAATTTCATGCTTCTTAATTCAACTTCATTAATTAATCCATCCACTTATTGAGCAGACATCATCTACTGAAGTAGGGTCTGAGCAATTAAATAACAGCCCATCGACTTAATTTTAACAAAGGAGAAGTTTATTAGTCAAGGCTCTGCCAGCTGGTAACCGCTTGCAGGAAGAGAACTTCAAGCAAGTCAGCCCCAAGCCCCCGCTTAGAGCTTCCTTAAGTAGTCCTAGTTTACATCTCAGTTAGCTAAAGTTAGAGTTGGACATTTTCCAGAGCTCTTATCACAATATTCTACTGACATCAGCAAGCTTGCGAATTTACAGAAACAGATGTGCTAATTAGACTGGTATAGTGGGTAAAGATACAATTTATCTTGCAATGTTTACAGAGGAGAAACCTTCAAAGAAAAACCTCCAGGAAGGGAGTAACACCTGTTTCAAGGCTGAAGCCATTTCTTTCATCCCCCACTTACAATCCCAGGAGCAGAGGCTGCTTCTTTTCTCTTTTACATACTACATGACAGGTCCTGTTCCTGGTGTTGGGAACAGGCAAAGTTCAGATTCACCCGAAGATTACTTTATTGTGGCAGGAGAGAGAAAGGAGATAATGTATCAGGCAATGTGGTGGCAAATGTGAAGGAAAATAACAAGAAAAAGTCACATCAGTGATGCTATTTTATATATGATGGCCAAGAGCCTTTTTGATGAGATGACATTTGAGAAAGATCTATAAGTAATTAGGGAGCAAATCATACTAGTGTCAGGAAGAGTCTTGTAGGCAAAGGGAGCAAGAAGTACAAGGGCATTGAGCAAGGAGCATACTTGGAGTTTTTGAGGAAGAGCAAGGAAAACAGTGCAGCTGGAGCCAATTGGGACCATTGGAGATTTGTAGTAGATAAAGCCAGGAAGGCCAAGATCATGCAATTCCACTTGAAGAATTTTGTCATTTTCCATTCTGAGCACGCTGGGAAGCTATTGGGGGCTTTGAAGCAGAGAACTGACAAGACTAACTCTGTCTTAAAAGACTCATTCTGACTTCTATAGGGAGAATAGATCATGAAGGGAGAAAGGAGATAATATGTCAGACAATGTGGGGAAAAAGTAGGAATGTGTTACAATGATCTGTGAGAGGTGAGACTGATGGGTTTACTTTGAAGATAGAGTTAACATGGTTTGCTTATGGCTTAGATATGGACTATGAGAGTGAAAGGTGCCTATAGAAACCTAAAAGAATCTTAACTTATTCTTTAGTCTTTTTGCCTCAGCATAGCAATTAGAAAGCATTCAGACATTCTACTGCAGGACAAACAGCAGCCTATCCCCCCCACCCCAAGCAAATCTCCTTCAGATACAAGATCAGGACAACCCAAATAACCACCCCACCTCTGGTCAAGGAATTTGTGATTTGCAAATGTCTAACAAGTCTCTTACAGGAAATCCCCCTCAGGTTAACCTAATCAGCCCTCTGTGAACTACGTGACACAGATAAGCCCCACCATGGCAGCAATCATGTGACTAACCCACCCATTGCCTGCTGTCCATCACCTGACATCAGTAGCACCTGCACTTGTCTGCTCCTTTGTGATGATGTGGAAGCAGACCACCACCCAATCACCTTAATGATCTTCCCCCATCAAGGGGAATGGTTAAAAGGACTCAACCACAAGCAACCAGGGGCCATTGCCTTGCTAGAGTCTGGTGTGGCCATGTGCTCTTTGAGCCATGGCTGTTGCCATGCTTCCTGGCTTTGGTCCCCCTCCCCCACCTTGGGGAGGTGAATATTCTTTCTTCTGTCTCTTTCTCTCTCTAACTTACTTTCAAATAAACTTTTCTTTCTTAACCTTTTTGTGTGTCACAATTCTTTGCAATTTACTCAGATCTCTGGGTTGCCGGTGTGCACCTCCGGCTTGCCAGCTCCCGCAGTGCTTCGCACTTCCCTGCCCTGCACCTCTCCACCCTCACCTCCGTCCTACCCTAACAGAGAGAAAGCGGGAGTGAAGAATATTTCCAAGGTTTTAGACTGAAAACCTGAAAGGTTGAACTTGGCATTTACTAAGACTACTGGGGAAGGACATTTGTGAGAGAATTTTCGGACCTTTGTTATCAACATGCTATATATGAGACATGTATCATATCCAAGCTGCAGGGTAGGTGGTTTAATATAAAAATCTGGAGTTCAAGGGACTATCAGAATAGAAAATTATTTGAATCCATAAGACTGAAAATTATGCCATTTAGGAAGTGGATTTCTGGGGTTTTTTTGTTTTAAGTATTTCAAGGAAAAGGAAGGAAAAATTGTTTCAAATGCTTTTGACAAGTCAAGTATGATAAAGACTAAGAGTTGATCATTGGACTTATCAACATAGCTATCATTTATGAGCTTGGAAAGACTTGTTCTGGTGTTGTAGTAGAGATAAAAAGCCTTATTTTAGTGGGTTCAATATAGGATGAGTAGAAATAGTGGGAGTGAATTTAGACAACATTTTTAAGAAGTTTTCTATAAAAGTGAAGTATAAGAGAATTGGGATAAAATTTAGAGAGAGACTAAGGATCAGCCACTAGAGAATTTCATATCATTATTTGAGGTTTTGTTTTGTCTTTCTTTTTACTCTTAGTTTCATGTATGAACTGACATCTCCTTCAATGGAAGTCTAGAACAGCCTGTTATCATCTTCTACTTATTGCTTCAAAGACTAACATGAGGGCCATACTTTTTCATTGTATATTCTGTAGGCACAGAATAGGGACAGAATGTATCATGGGGTAAAGCATCATTCTTCAATGATGTTAACAAAGCCTTGGGCTTTACCCTGTAGATCTTTCATCTTGGTCCTTAGGCACTCATGTGGTCAAAGGTTTGATAGTCAATGGAACAACGAGGAAAGAAGTCATGTGACCTTTCTTGCCTACTCTCTTTTCAGTCAACAAACATGTGCTGAGTTCCAACTTATGACTTCCTAGAGAGGAGGTCACTCCCTCTCCATGGGAGGGAACCCATGCCTCTCTCATTGCAGGTACCTAGACTCCTAGACTTGAGCTCATTGAAACTTGGACCACGTTTCTCCTAATCTCTATCTTCCCTGAACCCCTACCCGGCCCCCAAATTTGAGCTTTACCTCGGAGTCCAGAATGCTGCTGTTGGGCTCTTTGTCCTCTGATAAAGAGCCACAGGATGACCCCAAGAAGGATGAGGAAGATGCCAACCAGGAGAGCTGGGACAACGATCACTTCATACTGCCGCTCCTGGACAACTGGGTAGGCAGTCCAGCAGGAAGAGAAGAAAATGAAGAGAAAGGTTGATCTGAAGTTCACACAATTTCCCCTACCTGCCAGCTCTCCACTCATCATACATGAAAAAATCATCTCTTCTACCTTTCCCTCTATTTCTACTCAACAGAAGCACTATTGGGAGCAACTCTCTAATCAGAAACCCCAGTGTCCCTGTTCCTTCATCCATTTTTTGTGCATTATGCCTCTTCCGTCATTTTCCCTACTGAGATAGAGAATGCAGTACCTGAATCTCTGCTTGGCATTTAATCTATCATCCAAAAGACAACATTATCTTCATTTCTACTAAAAGTCAAATCATCCTCCTTCTAGACTCCATCCAACCCTTAGTCTCCATAATCCTAAAATCAGAGCATAGACATCTGTGGTACACATTCTTACCACACAACTTGTCAGTGAGACTGCATTCCAGTAGCATCCGTGTCATGACCCTCTCATCCCCCATTGTCCACTTCTCTGATGGCCCCACAGAGAGTGCAGAGGGCACACAGCAAGTAATTTCCAAGGATTGAGAGGTTCTGGAAAAAAATTAAATGGAGCACACACAGAAAGTTTTTGTTTGTTTTGTTTTGGTTTTTTTTGAGTCAGAATCTCATTCTGTCACCCAGGCTGGAAGGGTATGATGGTATCCAGGCAGTGGTATGATCATAGCTCACCACAGCCTGGGCCTCTTGGGCTCAGGCGACTCTTCTGCCTCAGTAGCTGGGACTACACGTGCGTGCCACCACGCATGGCTAATTTAAAATTGTTTGATGCCTTTATAGATGATAAGTAAATGGCTACCTCTATCCATCTGTCTGATACCAGGCTGGAAGAAAACCCTCACCTTTTCCTTTCCCCACCATTATTCTCTATAGTGCAATAAACAGCCTTTATCTAGTCTTGTCCTTTCATCCCATTGTTACTGAGATTATTTTAAAGGCTCCCTTCTCACCCAAAACTTCTCTTCCCATGTTTGGTTAGTGTCTCACATCTGTAATATCAGCACTTTGTGATGCTGAGGCAGGATGATTGCTTGAGCCTAGGAGTTTAAGACCAGCCTGGGCAACATAGCAAGACCTAATCTCTATAAAAAATTAGCCAGATGGGTAGCATGCACTTGTAGTCCCAGCTACTCAAGAGGCTGAGGCAGAAGGATCACCTGAGCCTAGGAGGTTGAGGCTGCAGTAAGCTGTAATTGTACCACTGCACTCGAGCCTGAGTGACAGTGTGAGACCCCGACTCAAATTTTTTTTAAAAATTTCTGTTCCCATTCTCAAGTACAGATTCACAGCATCTATCTGAACAGTGCGATCCATGGGTTATGTGGGTAAGATCTACTTTCCCTATAGTCCTTAAGCATGTCTAATTTTCTTTAGCTGTGAGTCACATTTTTTTTTTAATTTTTTTTTTTAATTTTTTGATCTTTAAGACTGTGATGGCCAGACTGGAGAACAATGGTGCAATCATGGCTTACTATAACCTCTAACTCCTGGGCTTAAGTGACCCTCCTGCCTCAGTCTCCCAAGTCACTGGGATTACAGGTATGATATACCACGCCCAGCTCTAAACATTTTATACAAAGTTGATTCAGACAAGGAATAGTTGACAAATGCCAAGAGATATGAGTTATGCATTGCTTTCTTCCTCTGAAATATCTGCACCTTCACAACCAATGAATAGACAGCATTGATCAATACAAACTAAAATTTATCAGCTCTCAGAGCTTCAAGGTGCTTCTCCATCTCATGTCAGAGATAGACACACATGCTTATTCTTACCAGGATATAAGGGAAGTGTCAGTACCAAGCCACCTTCTATTTCTCTTACTCTTTAAAATAAAATGTATTCTTAGAGTTCAAAAATAAAAATTTAAAATGATATAGCATAAAAATCTTTCTTCTATCCCATCCTCCTTCACTTATCTAGTTTCCAATTCTGCTCCAAGTTATTAGTTGCTTGTTCATCTGGCAAGCAATTCTTTATATGCACCACTTTTAAGTCTGTATAATTAGCATATGTTTCAAATGACATCCCCAGAAAGTTGGTTCTTTCTGTCTAAAAATAGCTGGTGTTTACTACTCTCCCCTATATCTACAGACTTTATATTTTGCCTCTACTTGACAAGACTCCCCCATGGTTCTATAGTCAGCAAAGCCTACTTCTTTAATTCTGAATAATCTGAAACAAAATGTGCTTTTTCTGCTAAGTAATTCTAAATATGTAATCCAATTTTGTACTGACCTGATAAAAAGGTAAAACAGAAGAATCAGAAGTGTAGTTTATATGATAGGTTACTATGTTGTACATATGTTACATTAGCAATAATAAGCTGTTTTCTATTATTACATATTGTGTTTTATTATTGATAGTAATAATCACAGTGTTACTTATTGAGGCAGAGTCTCTCATTGCCTGAAAGACCTATGCAGAGAAGCCTCACTCCTTTTTCATCCTTTTTCATTCTTCCTGAAGCATGCATGTGAGTTTGACAGCCAAGCAATTCCCTTCAGGGTCTCACTCTGTTGCCCAGGTTGCAGTGCAGTGGCATGATCATGGCTCACCATAGTCTCCAACTCCTGGGTTCAGGCTATATTTCCAACTCAGCCTCCTGAAGAGCTGGGATTACAGTGTTTTTCACCATACCCAGCTAATTTTTTTTTTTTTTTTTTTTTTTTGGTGAGACAGGGTCTCACTATGCTGCCCAAGCTGGTCTCGAAATACTGGGCTCAAGTGATTCTCCCACTTCAACTTCCCAAAGTACTGGGATTACAGGTGTAAACTACCACACCTAGCCAATTTCTTTATAACTCAGAAGAGCAACAGGTGTGTGGCTGGTTGACAAAAACTCAGGTAAACAGAGAAGTAGTCAGAAGGTGGAAAATTGCAGAGAGGATAGGAAAATTTGTATCTTTGGGTTTATACACAGCAAGAGAATTAAGAAGTTAATGAATAGTTAGACAGCAAAGTTCACCTCATTTAGTTTGTAAACCCAAAAAGGCAAAGAGAAATGTAACTTTAAAAGTTTCCACAATTCACAAGACCACATGGAAGGAAAGGTCCTAGCAATACAACTTTCAAGACTAGAGCCTTGAGAGAATGGAGCAAAGGAGAATGGGTTGATATTTTATTTTTAAAATATCAACCAACTAGGTGAATTCAGAGGTAATTTGAAAATTTCTCACTGCTATTCTCATTCTTATTTTTCTTTCCTCTTGCTTCCTTTTCAGTGCATTATCAGATGTAATTATTTTCATTCAGGGAGCAGCCAGTTTAACAAGTTTGGCTTTCTGGGGAGCAGGCTCTGTGAGCACAACCTCTCTTACTGTAGTGCAAGTGGCAGAAAGGGTCAGTCAACAGCCAGCTCAGACTCGTGAGCTCTGGCCAGAAAACAAACCACATACCCACTATTGCACACTGAATGAAGTCATTTAAAGCCATGTGTGAACATGTACCCCCACATATAACTGCTCGTAGAGGGCCATACTCAACTGTAGGCACATGGCCAAACACACCCACCCTTAATGACTCAGACTCATGCTTATACCTTTGCACCTGGCCATCACACCTATTTCAGCACACCCACCTTTGGATACAATATGACCTTGTATTGCATTCCTGAACCAGGTTCTCACCATCACCTTTCTTTGTACATATATAGTTTAAAGAGGCTAGGCTTACTAATACCTGACAGCCCAATGGAATTGGATGCTAGAGTGAGAACATAAATGTATAGGGTGATGAGACCCACTCAATGATATTGCCTTCGAGATGTTTGTACAATACACACTTTCCAATGTTGACTGTTTAGGTAGAGGCATATAGAATGTATCAAATAAATCCAGGATTTTTAAGGCATACACACCAGGCATACCCACATGTCCATGGAAGCCTACACAGGAAACCACACAGAGCCCACTAAAGCTTATATATGAGAAGATGCTCATATTCACCTATAACCCTCTCTCGATCACTGTTTTCCCAGCAATTTTTATTCAACTGCTACATGGTTTTGCTGGTCAAGCTAAGAAAAGGCATGCCTTGATACCAAAACTATCTAGGATGACTTTTCCCATAGGTTAGATTCTGGTCCATTCTACTATTAGAGGAATGCTCTGTCGCCTTTAATCATATCTAAACAGTTTCTCATTGTGTCAAAAGATTGTATGTAGGCTACTACTTCTATTAGCTGGGCTGTAAAGTCTGTATGAGTAAAGCTTTATTCACAGTTCTCTAGTGCTGTGAATAATGAAATTCAGAGCATTGGAATCAAGGACCTAGTGAAACTGTGAAATATTTGCAACAACTGACAGTTGCAAAATATGTTTGCAAATAACTCACACATTCCTATATCTGCACTGCCAAATCTCTTCAGGCAGGGTTCTAATTAGAATAATATTCTCTCTCTTGTTGTTGTTGTCATTTCTTAGTTTTTTTCTCCTAAATTGCTTTTAACTTCTGCTTAGCTTATTAAAAGGGTTAGGTCCTCTCCTGACTTGAAAATCTGAAGGGTGGGGGTGGGAATAGCACAATGAATAAAGGAGACAAAATAGGAAGAGCATGACTATAATCCCAGGCCGAGGTGAGAGGATTGCCTGAGCCCACGGGTTTGACACCAGCCTGAGCAACTTGGCGAAACCTCATCTATACAATAAATCCAAAAATTAGCCGGGTATGGTGGCATGTGCCCGTAGTTCCAGCTACTTGGAAGGCTGAGGTGGAAGGATTGCCTGAGCCTAGCAGGTCAAGGCTGTGGTGGCCATGAATGTGTCACTGTACTCCAGCCTGGGTGACAGAGTGAGACTCCGACTCAAAAAAAAAAAAAAAAAAAAAAAGGAAGAGCATGAGAGTGAAATGGGGAGTGAGGTCCATTCTAAATCTTTACATGAGTATAGTCTGGAGACCATAGAAGTTAATGAATATAACTAGACTTGAACTAAGTATTAATTCTTCAAATGTTTACCATAATAGGCATAATGGTACACTGTATGTTTTAATGCAAAGGCAGTTATATATGCAACAATAACACAATTTGGGGGGTTTTTTTTGAGACAGAGTCTCCCAGTGTTGCCCAGATCGGTCTCAAACTCCTGGGCTCAAGCAGTCCTCTTTCTTTGGTCTCCCAAAGTGCCAGTATTACAGGTGTGAACCACCACACCTGGCCGGCACAACTCTTGTTAATGACATTTCTCTTCAGTTAGCACAATATAGTCTTCCAGACACAATCAGCAATTTGCCCATGACTTTCCAGAATAAACCCTTCTTCCTAAAATATACCCACATAAGGACTTTCAAATCAGACTCATTCTCCAGTACTCTGCCCGTTTATGTATTGTGAAAAATTCCATGATTGGCCTTGGTATAACATCTGGCCCTGTTCCAGTAAGTTGTGACCAAATCTCTTGTGCCAGCCTCACCTTCAACCTTACCATTTGTTTATCAACACATGTGGACCTGCCAGCCATGTTATTTTTAGACAGACAGATGATCTATCCTCTGGTGGATGCCACATTTGGA